TTTACCAATTATCATGCAAGGATGGGCAAGAAACAATTTGCTGTTTAAAATTAGCAAATGAAATCAAGACAACTTTCATCTTTATGAGTTTCATTTCATTTTCCTTTACGCCAGATGAACAACCCCCCTCAAACCAGAAGTCACAAGTGATTCATATATATTCTACTGAAAGCCACCAAGGGCAGTAAATTAAATCTACAGTGCTCTCTCTCTCACGCGCATACACAAATGGTCTGGAAGCCCATGCAAGGCTTCCTATTGGTGTGAGACTGCCAGTCAGCCTAAAAGCTATTAGTACTGCTTAAGAGAGTCACAGAATGATTTAGCAGAGTTTTAAACGACTGCTGCAGCAGCTTGTTCCACACGAGAGACTGGAGCAGTTTATGGAAATGCAGGTGGAAAAAGCTTATGAATTTTAAATTATTTGACAGGTATCTCTCTTTCTTTTTTTAAGGAACCTAATTCGTGCATATACACATCACCTTTTCCTAATTTACTGTTAAACTTCTTGTCTTGAAGACTAGTCAGACATAACGTAAATGTTGTTAATTTTAACCATTCCTTTCAGTTATCTATGCTTGTAGTTGCTGTGCAAATGAATGTTTTCAGAAGAATCACAGATCCACTGACATATCAAAGGGGAATTCTAGTAATAAGTGGCAGTTTTGCTTTGTGTACATTGCAATGACCTGTGGTCTGGGTCTACCAAAAGCACACGCTACTGAAAGGCTACTATGGTGAGACTGAAACCCCCTAGGTCTTTCAATACCACCTTTCTATTATGTGAAAGGAAAACATCAAACAGCATATATATTCTTCTGTTCATACAGCTGGTCTTTACAGGATCTTTCTCATCAGCTGAATAGGAAGCCAGAGTTAGATTAGGATTTTGGACCTTGAAGTTCCTATATTTCCCAGGGAAGATCAAATACTGTAAGAATCTGGGGATCAGCAGGTGAGGACATGAGGGAAGGGACATGTTGTCATCTTTCAGATGTGACTGCACAGAACAGAAGCTATCTTTAAACTGAATTGGTAGTTTGTAGTTTCCACTCAAAGTGGCAGATCAAACTAAAGACTACGGGAGAGTATGAGTTTGTCCAGTCCTACTAACCTCAGGCATCATCTTGGCAAGGACTTTATCCCCCTAGGTTAATCAGGCTAAGAAGGAACCTTTTTTCTTTTGAATGAAGGCAAGCCCTATCTGCATGGAAGAGGTGCTCTCATGTTTCTGCATGCACACAATCCAACATTAATGGCAACCTTAGGTAGGATCCTTTCTCTGAAGTGCTAGCTAGCTAGCCAGGCTAGCTAGATCACATGCAGGTGCTAGCGTTTTTTGGCTCCCTAAGATCCAATATGGACCGATTTTGAATCTGGGAATATACGGCAAGAGAAAAATCTCACATTCCCATGGAAGACTTATATTTTTCCTGGAGGAATCCAGGCAGAGAAAAGAGAATGGGTAAGTGCAAAAAAGCTTATATGTTATACAAAGACATTCTTCCCTTCTCATTTGGCCTTGCAAAACATTTTATAAGAATTCTTTCCTATTTATCTTGGAGTTAGCGTGTTTGGTTTTAGGTCTAAATAAATGGACAGGATTTGAAACCATAATCTCTTTTTGTCAAGAATTGCAAAGGATCAGTCACAGAGAAGGGGGAATGTTGATTCCTCAGACTCCATAAACCTCAGGCTTTTAGTAAGGGCAAGGCAGGTTTTGTGAGAGTTTCTCCGTCTCAGTTCTGCCAGCCAGTGAGGTCTTAGGCCACACAATAAAAGACTTTAACATGATGAGTAGTGAGGTTGTTACTCAGGTGGGAACAGGGTGTTTTAGCTGTCTAGTCTAGTTATTCCATGCCACATTCATTTTTGTACTATGCTAATTCCTATGAAAACATGCCACTGTTCAGGGATGCAGTCCCTTTTATGTTCCTCTCCTGGTCTTTCTGGTGCCCGCCCATCCTCAGACCACCTTCTGATCCTCCTTCATATTGTGACACCCCCCTCCACCTCATTTCTCTACTTCTGCTTGTCTTCAGGCTGGTCTCACCTGCATGTGAACCAGTAGGCATGATTACAGACTGGCAGAAGTATGATCTCGCTGGATTGAGCAGAGAGAAGAGTAAGAGGAATGGTTTTTCAAATTGCATTTTTTTCCGCAGCTTTATATGGAGCCCACAGAACCTGGATTTGTAGATGATTTCTTCCCTTTTCAGTACAAAAAACAATGTGAGCTAGAGGTTAAATTAAGTGAGCTAGGAGAGCAGTTTCATCATGAAACCCAGCCTCAGAGGGATGTTATGATGTGTCAACACATCGCTATGAAGTTCCTGGGAAAAGTCATATTAAAGACACTGTTGTATAAAGGCTGGATCCATTGACCATTTCTGTCAATGCAAAGACTTCAGATGGCTTTGGATTAGACCCTTAAAACACACGCAGCATGAGACCACATAATCCCTCAGTAAGTCCCCGATTTCTGACAGGCAAGGATTTTTGTTAGAGAGAGAGGCTGGAGAGTGCTACAGCAAGTAGTGATGTTATTCAAAGCTTTCCTGTTTGATAACATTTCTTTTCACAGAGCAGCAGGACTGCACCAAAGCTGCTTCTCACCAGCTCACCCACAGCAAGCCATGGGCCTCATCCTTAGAGGTCTCGCCATTCTTTGCAGAGACCAGAAAAGTCCACCAAGTCCCAAAATCAAATATCCACTCCTTCCATCAAAAGCACTGAAAGTCCCAACATCCCACACTTGTCAGAGCAATTCAAATTCGGATACCCCCATGAACTTTCTTGGGCATTTTTCTTTCTCCCCTTTCAACTTTCAGCCCCCAGCCTGGCCCAGGACGGGTGCCCGAAGCCTCTGCCCTAAGCGAGGGCAGCTGGAGGGGATGCGCAGGCACCCTGGGCCAGTGGCGAAGCAAACTGTCAAGCATACAGCGAGCAAGGCGCCAGTTGCCCCAGGACTTCTCACAGGTCAGAAATACGCCATGGGGCTGGCTTTGGTTTGGCTCTAACCTTACATTTTCTGTCTTGGCCAAGTCATTTATTCTTTTTCCGTGTTATTCTCTCTTCCTTTTCTTGATACCATGCCACAGGGTTTTCTGTCTCAGAGCCAAAAGCAACTACACAGACTCTTCTGATCCCATGGTATGGGGAAATGTAATAACCATCCCAGGAATCCTTCTGACATTAGTCTTAGGGCTTCCTTACTAAAGCACACAAATATGGATTGAAGGAGGTGATGCGAATAGGACTCCACATTTTTTTAATTTCATGCAACAGAGAGAGTTTTCTTTTCGTTCCTTTGGCTGTAGAGATGTGCCAGCTTTAGGAGGGTGTGACCTAACAGATAACAAGATGGGGAAAAGCCCACCAAATATATTTTCAAGATGAAAGTCTCAAATCTCCATAATTAAAATCACCAGCAAATTTCCCCCTGTTCGAAATAGTGCAAGATCAGGGTTATGGCATCTTATAGAAGAGAACGTATTCTCATTGGTGTCTTTGCTGTGGTCTACTGATGGGTCTTTTTGTATCTAGCATTTTCTAGGTTAACTTTCTGAAAGTTTGAATGAAGACAGCAAATCCATATCCAGGCTCCAGGCTTTAACAGCTGAAGAAAGAGCAGTTGAAGCAAGGTTAGGATATGTGTATAACACCGATTACTGGGGAAGGAGGAAAAAAAGAGAAAATGGTTGCAAGAATATAATATCTCAAGCTAAAATAAACTCCTGATTTTATAATCAGTTACACAGAGGCCAATATCTTCCTCTTCTCTCTCTCTCTGTATATATATGTGTACATATACATACGTCAGACTGCAAAAAGCTGTAAGAAAGTGCTGACTACATGTCAACCAATGTAGACATACCCATCACTTCAAGAGAGGCTGGATTCCATTTCTGTTGAGAAAATCAGTTAAGTCTGTGAAACATGCAGGTACCATTTCAGTGTGGTTGTTAACTTAAACAGCCTTGAACCATACCCATATGGGTAATCTATGCAGTTCTGTACGCATTCAAAGGGCTCAAGGGCCAAATCCCTCTCTGTAATGCAACCATTTGTGCTACTTGAATATTTGAGCCTCTCCAGCTGGCCATTTCCTGTAGGTGGTAAAAATGATCAGGCAGGTTAATTTTAGGCCTAGGGAACCATTAGCCAGTAGCTAGCCTCTGGCTGACTGTCACAACTTTCCCTCAGTTGAAGCAGTCTTCAGGCTCCTCCAACCTAGCCTCTGAGTCAGAGGCTAAATCAGGCTTTCTCAACCTGCTATACTAGCTTAGGCTGAATTTCATTTTGATTTTCTGCCTGTCCAAACTGAGGTAGGCCTCCACAAAACAGAGCCGGCATTGCTGAAGATAACATTTGTGAAATCACATTTGTTTTATAACTCTATGATGGCCATACTGCTGTGGGAGAGGAAATCTTACATATCCCCAAGCTGTGAAGCCGCAAGCAGGTTGTCACTTAAAACAAGAGGTCTGACAAGCAATATCCTCTGAGACTGAGGCAGATATTTAGAAATCTGAATGAATGTCAGAAGTTTGGGCTGTGTACTCCTCGCTAAGACCCTAATGCATTAACATTTCAGTTTCTGGACAAAGTTCCTGAGCTAATAGAGTTTGTTTGCCTCAATTTTGGGGACGGTGAGGGGTTGGCTAATTTTCTTTTCGCTGTTTTTTTTTTCCCAGGCATACATTCATTTAGTATTGTGTCACTTTTCTCCCTGATCTTCATGTTTTTGTAGTTGATCAGAAATAAAAATGTGAGATTTTTTTTTACAGCATTGTCAGGGCTAAAATAGATCTGTGGAACTGTGTAAGAAAAGGTAAAACACCAAGATTTAACGTACTCACCACTGCTGAAAGTTGAAGTCAATCATTCAAACTTACATCCAGTCTGTTATTGACTGTTATTACCAGGTTCTACCTTCAGCTTGTTAATATTGCATGCAACTACTTGTCTTGCTGATTCTCTTCTTTTGACATACACAGCCAGATACCAGCTGTTCAAGTACATAAGGCAAGAGGAAGGAATGGATGAATTACAATGATCTTACACCCATGACTACAATTTTACAGTCCTACTGAACCCCAATGGGAAGCACAGGTCCCGCTTCACCATCTGCTCAGGGAATAGAGGGTCGCTAGGTGAACACGGACACAAGCACAGTAGCCGTCACTGGCTAGGTGAGGTGAGTCCCACGCTAAATTTCTAGAGACTGATAGAAGAAGGAGTGACAAATGGATCTATCAGCTTCCACTTTCCCACTGGGCATTGCATCACCCAGCAGAGCTGAGAGGAAACCTTGAGATGTAGGATGCAGCTTCTCCCAAATTGGTGCTGCAGAAGCATTTATTACTCTAGGTCCATTGACATAAACTCTGGCTCTATCAGGAGCCTGGAGCACCCTTTGTACTCCTCAGCAAGGCCGACGGGAAGATAGGGCATTTCAATAACCTCTGCTGGGGTTTTATTTTATGGGGTCCACTGACAACGAGAAGGGAAGTGAGCTAGGTTGTTTCTACAGAGCATCACCCGCCTGTCCTTTAATCTACCCCCTTCGACTTCTGACATGGCTGCCTCAGAGTGTTTCACACTTGTACTCACTTCATCATTCATTCATTTCAGTGGCAGCCTACGGTTGCTACAAAGCAAACACATTTTATCACACCTCAGGGAAAGTTTCAGCAGATACGAAATCCATGAATTAATCAATCTGCCCAATTTCTATGCTTCTTTTTCAGTCCCCTGTCTCTTCTCTCAGAATCCTCCTTCTTAAAATCTCCCTTACCTTCATGATTACAACCTACTGCAAATGTGAAGTTTATTTATTTATTTAAGAGAGCAGTGTCGACTACCAGAGTTTTAGCTATCAAATCATTTTTATGGACAATGTAGTAGAGCTGTCAACAAGAACAGATGTGTGGGAGGGTTGAAGAAAAGGCCATGCACCTAATGCAAGAAATATTTGGGTCCTTTCCTGTGAGTAAAGCATGAAATCTCCTTGACACTTCGCAGGCAGTGCCTGCTCACAACAAACTATGTGCATACAGAACGGAGAAAAGGGTTTTAGAGGGCTGATGGAAGAATCAAACAATGACACTAACTGCTGTTTACTTTTTTCAGATGTGTACATACAAAGTGAGGCTTGGAAGGAAGGGTGTCTGAAAAACTACTGCTGCTTCTGCTGCCAGTTTCATCAGCTAAAACAAACCTCCCTTGGAAAAAAAAAAAAAAGGAACAAAAATGTCATTTGCCGACATTGTCATTCCCTGCTGCCTGGTAAATAAACATAACATCTATTTGTCACCATGGAAACATCTTCCATGGTCCAAAGCATGCAAAGGACAGGTATCTGAGAAACCCAGAAGTCTGAGGAAATGAGCAAGCATCTAACATAGCATTTTATGTTGTTTCTCTCTTTCAAGTATTAGCACTTTGGTATTTTTTTCTCTAAGGTACAAACATATTTGTCTTAGAAAGGGCAGCACGTATCTTAGAGACAAAGATTAAACATTTGCTTAATGTGCTGCCTCTGCCATGCCTAGCACTTACTCTCTCTCCCCTGCCAGGGAGGGATTTGTAAATAATTGCCTTATTTGTACATCTAAAAGGCACTTGTTTCTCCAGGGACCTTGCATTTGTTCTCCTCATCTGATGCATCAGTGTTAGAAAGACATTGCCACGAGCAACATACACAATGTATTGATTTACATCAAAAAAAGCTGTTCTTCTGCCCACCTTGTGTATGTAGGCAGTCACCTGGAGACCTGACAAACGTTCCCCCTTCCTGAGGGACTGCAGTGCCACCGACAAGGACCTGCCCACCCTGCCTGCTCCAGGTTCGATGCCCTCTGAGGTGGCTCTGTGCTGGCTAACCCTCATAGCAGCATCCTTTCGTTCAGACTTTATATATGATATCTAGGATCTGGACACCTCCTTTTGCACTTCCTCTGAAGCAGCTGCAGCACGGTCAAGGCAAAAATAGGCAGGTCTATTCTCCTGCAGTCTTTTATCATAAGCTAAACTGCGGATATTGGAAGAATACCCTACTACATGTGAAAAGACATCCCTGTTTCTAGTTATCCAATGAGATACACATTTGGGAAGATATACTCTCATGGTAATCCATACCCTTCCTTGGACAAAGAAAGTCAGAAGAGAAAACGTTTGCTTTCATGAGTAGCTCTAGACAGAGCAACTTGTTACTGGCTGTTAGCTGCACTAGTCACATGGCATGAACAGTCTTGGGAAGCTGGCACCACACCAAAGATCATTAGCTTCCCAAAATGTAGGTATAAGTCATGCTTTGCACATTTAATATGGATGTATTTGCAGTTCCCTGTAGAAAGAGGGTACCTTCAGGGTAATGGTAGTCAACCAGCAGACTGACTGCAAACAATGTTTGCATTTCTACTCGACAGCCAGCTCCAGAAGACAATGGAGTTGTGAGGTCTGAGCTGTTGATAGAAATCAGAAAACCAGCTTCATGAAAGTGAGGAGCAAAGAAGGATCTGAGACCTAGAAACAAAACGTGTTGTGGCTGGATCGTTCCATTAAAACATAGTCAATTGGGTTTCAAACAAAGACAGGGAAGGGGTTAACATCCAGAAAAGGGGTGACATCAAATCCAGCCGCAAGGGCTAGGAAACATGCTAAGGAATGTAAAAGAAAACTTATACAGTAATTACATTTAGAATAATGTTTTGTGTGTGATTTATTAGTCATTTCTGTTTCCAATCTTGAGTTTAAAAGGGTGATTTAACTCATAACCAAAGAGGTGTATCTATGAGTATATCCTAGAGAGGCATACCCCCAAGTTAAGGTCTTCGGCCAGTGCAAGCAGAAGGGAGAAAACACGAAACATCTCCTTGTCCCTGTTCTTTCACATAAATGAAATCCTTCTTTTAAATGCTTTCTCCCATTCTGCAAATCTCTTTCCTCTTCTTATGACAGCGGAGTCTTGCATGCGCCATCCAGAGAATACAACACTTTAACTGGGTTGCCCAAAAATATTCTGATGCAAATATGAACTGTGAAGGAATTCATTTGAAAACCGCAGTGCTGGGGAGGGTCACTATAAAAGACTTAGAAGGCTTTGATGGATAAGAATTAATCAGGTTAAGAGTATAAAGTTTCTGCCTTCATAAAATCCCAACCTACGCATGCTCTTTAGACCCTTCCACAGAAGTACAGTTAAGCAGACATTTGGAAACCAGCCTCAGCTCCACACTTGGGATTTTCCATTCAGGTAACTGGTTTATTCTTGTGAGAACCACTTTACTTCAATGAAGAGACTCCTACCTTTCGCTGATGTCACGGGGAGGAGAACTGAGACAAAGTGTAGCTAATATTACAAAATGTTATCTAAATATGGAATCTGTCTCACCCTTGCACCCTTTTTTTGAGTATCACAGTGACCTGATTTCTTAATTTTTTTAACAGTTTATCACTTCTTTTGGGAACTGCAAGTACTCCTCTTAAAGCTTCTCATTCCCCTAGCAGACCTGTTATTTCTTCCCATAGAGAGTCTAAAGGATGAATGTTCTTGTAAAAGCATGTTAAATCTTGATCAAAACCCTGCGAAGTTAGCAGAAATGTTCCCAGTGAGATCGGTGGTTTTGGGTTTGGTTTCCCTGGGACACTTCCACCAGTTTGCTGGGGGTACTATAAGGCACATGCAGAACCTTGCAGTACCCGTTCATCATGCTCAGAGGGCACTTTGCTGCCTTAGAGACAGCCCAAGCCACACAGCTAGAACCAAATCCAGAGCAGAGCAGGCACGGATTTTAGGAGGAATTAATATGTGGAATTTGGTTTCATGCTCAGTTTAGTATTTGTGCATTTTTGCCTTCCTGCATTTCTTTCTTTTTGGTGGATTCGTTCTTTCCCCTCTCATCCCCCTTACATTGTACACTATCAATCAAACCTTCTCTTTCTCTTCTTTTCACAGACAGATCTCTCTAACATGCTTTTACTCCTGTCACGCTGTCCCTCCTATCTTCCTTTAGCTGTATAATTTCTTCTTCTCATCTCAAGCAACCTTTGCCTTTTCACCCACCTTCTTCTTTCTAGACTTGATTCTCTTCTCATACCAGCTGTACAACTGTGTAACTATCCATCAGCTTCAATTAAGTAGTCTTGATCTATTCACTTTGAGAAAATCATTTGTCTATACCAATTTCTCTAGTACCACGCCTTGACTTTTGCTTTTTTACTACGCCTGTTGATTCAGTTGACAGTGCATGCCCTAGTAATACTTTTCCAGCTACTAACAATTACTTTTTCCCCTCCAAAGCAAGCGTGGAGACAGATTCCTTTTGGACAATTTTTTAAAACGTATTTACTGACATCCTTTTTGTATTTAGGAAAAAAAGTGCACAAGGCCTTTGGCAATGGAAAAAATAGAAAAGATATGGAGGTGAGTAGTGTAGTATATTTCAGTATTGTCTTTCACTCTGGAAAAAACTTTTGACATATTAAAAAATCCACTTACCAAAAAAAAACCTGCTGATCTGTCCAGGCCTGGGAAGTCAGAGGTGATATTGGTCAGATGTAGCTATGCTGGCTGAACTTCAACGAGAAGCTTGTGCAGCTTTCGCTTTCACTTCACTAGACTTCCCCAAGCACTCTTGGCCTCTTAATTTCAGGAACATTAAAATTCATTAAGATTAACTAGTTTTTTCATTACAAAAGGAAAAATGGCACACTTTTTTAGCCTGTGATTAGGAAGCACTTGTTTATTTATAGAGCCATTTGTTGCCTGAAACCATTTCTTTTATATAATTGCTTCTTCAGACTGTTTGCTTATGTCGATCAGAAAACGTATTTTCGGAGATTAGGTCATTTGTACTTGCGCAAATCTGTGCAATAATTCAAAGAAAGCAAGGTCAGTTTAAATGAATACCATATCTAGCACAGGGATAAATCTATTAAATTAAAATCACTGAACATAAGACTCTGCTGATCATGTACTTATAGTGGAACATGTCAAAGGAAAACATCTTCTATTTACTAATTTATTTCAATGCCACAAAGATGAGATGAAATTCCCTTTAAAGTTGTAAGGTGTTTAGTACATATTGGAAAGTCAAATAGGAACTAATTTCCAGTTGGCAGTAAGTTAATGCTAGTTCTATTAGTCATTGTGAAAAGCTGAGAGCTGAATGTTGAAAAACAAAACACAAAAAAACAAGAGTGGTAAACAGCTCAGTTAGTCAGCCAGTCAAAGGAACTGGGTTTATCTTATTGTTATATTTTAAGAATATAATATATGTAGTATCTAGTTGGTTGTTGAAACAGTTTGATAAATCTGTCCATAATATTGCATATCCAGATATTCATGGACAAAAACCTTTCAAGTACCTTCATCCTGCAAACCTTTACACAGATGCTGAGCTTCACGTATGACAGTAGCTCGACTGAATGTGGATGAATGATTTTCAGGATGTTTGCAAACTGTTCATGTAAATAGTTTAGATGCCTGAATCACATACTATTGTCTTTGTTTCTCCTATGAGGACTGAAATAGGAACTTGTTAAATGAAAATACACCATCCTCTGTTTTTCAGGAAAATACAGAAGCACATGCTTCAGATAAAGTCCATACTAAAGGGCTTTGTGAAATCAGGTCCCAATGAATAATAGAGGAGAACTGCACAGTGGTCATTTTGATAACTATTCTCCTCTGATAAAACTGGGGTATTTCAGGATTTTTCAATATGCACATAAATCTTCTTGTACTGTTGAAAGCACTGATCAG